TAACCCTGCACTGGCAGACACATACAAAAATGAAGTCTGAGGTTACCCCAGAAGAGGTTTCTTGGGGGACTTCCCAGCTAGATGGCTAAATTCAAACTCTGACCACAAGGAAAATCACAAGATACGTGGTCTGACCTTAAGGAGTGTGTGTCAAGACTGGGCCTTCTCATTTGCCGATGCCTGTGCCATGGACATTTTGTCCAGATGCACACGGAGGACATAGAAGTTGCCAGCAGGGAATGGCGACCGCCTTGTCAGAGGATGGAAGGCAGGACAGTTTGAACGACTCTCCTGGCTAAGCTTTGCAGCATGTGTCTGGGTCTGGATGTACTTTTTTAGAAAAGAAAACATGCGGAGACAGTTAAAGATTGCTGAAGAAAAGGGAAATCCAGAACCCAGAGAGGTTAGTGGACACAGAAGCCCTGTCCTAAATGGTGCTGGTTACCAACACAGTCCAACCTTCACTTGGATAGCCTTGTGGGAGCAGAAATCAAAATTTCTGGCCAGTACAGTCAGGAGTTTTAGAGGGGCCTTGGATTCATACCGGATGATACCTTTGTGTAAGAATAAACCAGAGATAAACCTGTACTCACTGTGCCAGTTTTAGTTTGCACTCACAAACCAGGATTTCAGGGGATCTCCTGGCTTAGAACTTGGATTAAGGTGGTCTCCAGTTGGTAGTACCACCAGGTAGGTGTTAGAGATAAGCAGAAATTTCCCTGAAGGAAGTTTTTTTTTTTTAAGATTTATTTTTATTGGAAAGGCGGGTCAGATTTATAGAGAAGGAGAGACAAAGGGAAAGATCTTCCATCTGCTGGTTCACTCCCTAAAAGGGTCGCAACAGTCAGAGCTAAGCTGACCCAAAGCCAGAAGCCACAAGCTTCCTCTGGGTCTCCCTCCTGGGTACAGCATCCCAAGGCTTTGGGCCATTCTCTACTGCTTTTCCATGCCATAAGCAGGGAGCTGGAAGGGAAGTGGAGCAGCCAGGACATGATATGAACCGGTGCGCATATAGAATCCCTGAGCTGGCAAGGTAAGGATTTAACCATTAAGCCATTGTGCTGGGCCCTAGTGTTTTTTGTTTTGTTTTGTTTTGTTTTGTTTTAAGGTTTACTTCATTTATCTAAAAGGCAGAGTCATGCATACTGAGAGAAAGAAACAGAGAGGAGAGATCTTTCATCCACTGGTTCACTCTCCAACTGGCCACTGGTCCATCCTCTGTTACTCTCCCAGATGCATAAGCAGGAAGCTGGATCAGAAGTGGAGCAGCCAGTACTTGAACCTGCACCCATTAAAAGATTCAGACACTACAGACTATGGCTTTACCCAGTACACCACAACACAAGCCCCAAGAAAGAAATGTTTGACCTCAAATTGTTACTTTCAGAAATTTTTCCAAGTGCAAGAGCAGTGCACAAAAATAACAGCAGATAAGGAAATCTGGCTCTGTTCTCAGTTCGAAGGAGACAGCAGATAATAGAAAGGGACCCACAAGGATTTCTGTGTGAGTGGCATTAAAAAAACAAAAACAAAAGCAAAACTGTACTGTCTGCGATTAAAGGAATACAAATACAACTTTGGAAATTGCCTCAGAAAGTTATTAAGATATATATAGCAGTTTTGAAGTGAACATTTTCACAAAAGGAAGTTAACCAGTTTGTTTTTCCTTTTATTTAGACTTGCTGGCTTTTTTGAATTCCTGTTTAGCCTCATGTTTGAAGACTAAATCAATTTCCTATGGACAAAAATAGTAATATTAGTAGCCCTCAGACATAGATATTATTATGATCATGACCAATATTATACATTAGACAATCACGGTCCCACCATGAGTAGTCATTCTTCGAGTCAAAAGTATTTATAGCAGTACAGATTTCATGATAGTCTTTCCTTTGTCCAAAAGTAATTAGTTCTTGCCGTTAAATCAGTTCTCTGAAAATGTCAGTCTTTCCAGTTTAAGAAAACTAATCTTACACATGCTAAAAAAGGAATGTGTTAATAGATTCCCGTAGCAGGATCAGTTTCGGTAGGGAGCAGAAAATTCAAATAACAACAGCTCCAACAAGATAGAACTTTGTCCATCTCATGTGTAAGTCTGGAATCCAGGTGGTCTATGTCTCCCCAGGGTCACCTCATGTGTCCTCTGGACCAGTCCAGCTATCCCAACTGTATTTTACTCTGCCTGAACAGAAGACACAAGGAGTCAGGACAAAAGACACAGCCACGGCAGCCCGTCTTTGAAAGTAGGGTTTACCTGCCCTCCCAGGAAAGAGAAAAGAAGCAGCTCCTGGGATTCTGGAGCCACCAACACGCTCAGAGGGAGGCTCAGGTGTGCTGCCAGACACGGGTGAGCGCCAAGGACTAGCAACATCTGACAAGGCCGTTCTGTCACCCTGACCCAGGATAAAAAAAGGTTACTCCATCATCACCCCTGAATACACTGATCCAAGAGAGGTGACCAAACTTCCCTCATGTCCCTGATAGGACTTGATACCAATTATGGTCTAGCCATATTGCATTCCTTCCGATAATATTTTAAAATACTTAGTTATGCTTGTATAATTGCAGCTGCCTTCCAACAGTGTCCCTCAGTCCTCCCTAAAAAAGAAGCCTACCATAAGGTAAAGCCTATATGAACTATTTCTAATACCCCCTACTGATCTCTGTAGAGTGTTGTTGTTCTCCATAGAGTGTTCTCCTGGTTAACAGTAAGCCGTAAATCCAGCTTGTCTTGTTGTCTTTTGGTAGAGGCCATTAATGTGTACCATTGGCAGTATGTTAATTACAGGACTAAACTTAGTTGCTGAGAAAAGTCATCTTTTTCTTGGGTCTTCATGGGTTGCATGAATATTAGTTTCTATGCTTGTAAAAGAGAGGGAGTTAGAATCAGTAAGCCATCTCTTCTAGATTCTCCCAACTATAGAAAGCCAAGGTGCATGTGTTTAGAAAATAAGTAAGCCATGAAATTGACTGGCAAAGTCAAAGATGCCAACTTGCATGCTCAATCTCTCTCAAAAAAGGAAGATCTTCTCAAGTGAGAAAAGCATGGAGTCTACCAAGAACGGGAGACCAGACACAAAGTAGAAAGTGTTTAGACACACACTAAATTTAAAGAACATGTTGCAGAATAAGATGTCCCTATGAATGTCTTTTCCTATAGGACAGCACAAAATGACTGTTGGCGGTAAGTGCTGGTAAGTGGAAGGCACTGTGCCTGCTCGAACGGAAGGGGGGTCAGATGGGAATGAACGCCAGCCTCAGCCTCACACAGGCTGTTTCTCACATTTTTTCAAGAAGGCAAGAATCTTAGTGGTGATTTGAAAAGCAGGTATTGTTTTGCATTTCATAAAGGTTATATATGTATTTTAAAACATTAATATGATGTTTTAAGAATAAGCACAGGGTGGACATTTAGCAGAGTGGTTAGATTGCTAGTGAAAATCTCCACTTCAGGCACCAACATTGTGGCACAACAGGTGAAGCCACCTGTGGGATGCTGACCTCCCACGTCAGAGTGCTGGTTTGAGTGCAGGATGTTCTACTTCCAACCCAGCTTCCTGTTAACGCAGATGGGAAGGCAACGGAAGGCAACCTCAGTGTTAGAGCCGAGACCACCCAATTGGGACACCCAGATGGAGTTTCTGACTTCTGCATTCAGACCTCTTTGTCCAGAGGTCACAGCCATCTGGGGAATGAACTTGTGGGTGGGAGAGTCTCAGTTTCTCTGACTCTCAACTGAACTCATCTATACACCTGAACTAAATCTGCGTCATTATTTGGGATGCTTGGATCTCGCTTCCCAGCTCTGACTCCTGACCCAGAATCTTGTGAATGTGCATGCTGGGAGGCAATAATGAGAGCTGAAGTAACTGCGGTCCCTGCCATGGATGTGGGGGACCTGCCTTGTGTGTCTGCTTCTTGTCTGTTGGGATGTGAAGCAGTGGATGGGCACAGAATGCCTCTCCTCTCTCTCACACACACCATGTTTTATGCATGCATATGTGTGTGTTACTCTGGCTCTCTGCCACTGAAATTAATAAATCATTTTTTAAAAGAGATCAACTCTAATCAACTGTCTCAAGCAAATATCGTAGGCCAAACACTGTTCTGTATGCTTTACAATGCATTATCTCATTTACTCTTGCAAGTAGGTACTAATTTTTAGTCCCGTGTTATATATATGGCAACTGAGATTCAGAGAGCTTAGGTAACTTTAAAAAGGCAACCTCAGGTCTATCTGACAGTAATCCATGCCCTTAATTGCTGTGAAGTGTTGCTTATATATTAATGACATGTTTTCGATGCTGAGCAATATATTTGCTGTTTTTTGGTAAGCAAGTTGTACAAGCCAGTGTTGTGGTGTGGGTGGCAAAGCATCCCATATGGGCACTGGTTTGAGTCCCCGCTGTTCCACTCTGATCCAGCTCCTGCTAATGTTCCTGGGAAAGAAATGGAAGGCAGTCCAAGTGTTTGGGTTCCTGCCACTCAACGTGGGAGTCCTGGAAGAAGCTCCTGGCTCCTGGCTTCAGCCTTGGACATGGTGGCCTTTTGGTGAACGAACTGGTAGATTCTCTATAGAAACCCTGTGAGAAAAATACTGTTATTACCATGTCTATTTCAGAGATGCCAAGACTAAAGCACATGACTAAAGAAGTCATGATTATACAGACTGTATGTGCACAATTGGGAATTCATAAGCAGTCTAGACCAATAGGCACTGCTCTTAAACACAACATGGTAAAAATGCTTCCTTCAATGTAACATCCGTGTCTTTCCGGAAAAACTTCTTAGAACATGCCAATGCTTATCTGCCTTCTATATGTAATTTTTCAGTTAACAGAGCAAAAAAAAAAATACACTCGTTATTCAACAAAATGAAGCCACGTAAAACATATGAAGAGTGCTGACATGTTGATTCAACTAGCTAATCCTCCACCTCCAAGCTCAGGTATCTCATATGGACACTGGTTCATGTTCTGGCTGTTACACTTCCTACCCAGCTCCCAGCTTGTGGCCTGGAAAAGCAGCAGAGGATGGCCCAAGGTTTTGGAACCCTGCACCTGTGTAGAATCCCAGAGGAAGCTCCTGGCTCCTGACTTCAGATTGGCTCAGCTCCAGCCATTGTGGCCACTTGGGGAGTGAACCAGCAGATGGAAGTTCTTTGTTTCTTTTTTGCTCTGTAAATTTGCCTTTCTAATAAACATAAATAAATTATATATATATACATATATGTATGTATGTATTAAAGATATCTCTCTCTTCCTCTCTAATTCTGTTTGGTTCTAGTTTGCTCTTTCTAGCTATTTTTCAAGATTCATGATAAACTTTATATATCCACATCTATACACTCGTATGTGCTTGTGTATATGAATAACACAAGTAAGTAAATACATAAATACGTATGTATACGAACGTACGAAAAATAAAAGGCTTAAATTTTTCGGCATGTTTAAGTTTAGGTCTTTTCTAAAACTAAAAAAAAAATTGATAAGATTTCTGCATACAGGTTTTTAAAAATTCAATAATGACCAAAAACTTAGGGTGAAAAAAATAGCTGTCTCTCTCCCACTTAGTTTAGCATCTGCCCTCAACAGACAAGGTTCCTGAGGCTTCCTCTAAAATCACTTCCTATACGTATGGTGCTCTTTCTTAGTTCATCAGTTTAATCCTTTGTGTAACCTACTATTCTGTGACAACTTACCTACAAGCATAGAGACTTAACGCTCATTTGGTATCTACAATTTCTGTGGCGGGAGGCTGCTGTATTCCAAAGGTTGGATTCAGAAGACCCACTGTTGTTGGCAGGACTCCCCACTTCCCGGCTCTCTCCTGGCTGGGGAGCCTCAGTGCCTCACTGCACATGGGTCTCTCCCCTGGGGCTGACGACACAGCAGCCTGCTTCCTCCCCAACAAGCGATTCTGCAGCGTGTAAGGGAGGAAGAAATGGCACTGCTTTTCATGACCTAGTCTCCAAGGTCTCATCCCGCCATTTCCGCTTGATTCTGTTCGTCAGTCAGTAGAGCTCACACTCGAAGGAACGGAAATTACACTCCAATGCTTGAAGGAAGGGAGTCTCAAAGTGTGTGCGTGTTTTCAAACCATCACAGACTTAGTACGCTCTCGATACCATAGACACAGATTTAGCATTCTTGTACTGCCATCCCTTTTGGCTCTGCCCCATCCACTCAGTAAGCCTGCGTCACTTCCTCTGGTTGGATGCAAAGGCATTGTTTGCATTCGCAAGATTGTACAAGTGTAAGTGATGTTCCTTATAAAGCCAGCCAGGATCCGCACGGTTTTGTTACTTAGTAGGTTTCCTCCGACCAAGTTTTAAGTTCTCTTTTCCTTCCTTCCTTTCTTATATCCCAGTGATTTCCACCTCCATCCCTTGCCCCACTCACATAATAGTTAAGCTATTGAGTCATCATATTTTTCCTGGAAACTTTCCTCCCACATATCTATGTCAGAACTGGTTGTTTCAAGGTTGCTGCACAGTTGGCATTCTGGAATTTCCCGTCGCTGTACTCCTGGGTCCAGGGTCTTCTCTCTTTCTTGGTTTATGTATTTATTTATTTATTTATTTTCGTTTCATTTAACGGCCTGTCTTCAGATGGCTTCCTTAGAAAGAGTGGATGGAAAGTTTTGACTTCTTCTCTTCCTTTTGTACTGTAACAGAAATATCTGAGACTGACTAATTTATAATGACCGGAAATTTATTGGCTCAAAGTTCTAGAGGTGAGGAAGTCCAAAGCCAATGCGCTGCTATCTGGCAATGACCTTCTTGCTGTGTCATCACATGGTGGAAAGCAGTGAGCAATAGTGAGTGTGAGAGGCCAAATTCACCCTCTTAAAGATGATTAGAGGGCCTGGCGCAAGAGCCTAGTGGGTAAATCCTCACCTAGTATGCGCTGGGATTGTATATGGGCACCAGTTTGTATCCTGCCTGCTCTGCTTATCATGCAACTCTCTGCTTGTGGTCTGGGAAAGCAGCAGAAGATGGCCCAAAGCCTTGGGACCCTGCACCCATGTGGGAGACCTGGAGGAAGAAGCTCCTGGAGAGAGAAAGCACTCCCATTGGATAATTCAGTCTCCAGATGCTTGCAGTGGCTGGGACGGGCCAAAGCTAGAGAGCCAGGAACTCAATCCACATCTCCCGTGTGGGGTGCAGACATCAAGTCATTTGAGCCATTGCTGCCTCCTGGGTTCTGCATCAGCAGGAAGCTGGAGTCCAAAGCCAGAGCTAGGAGCAGAATCCAGACACCGATACGGGGCACGATCCTACTATTCAAACCCTCTCTCTCAAACTTGCCTTTTTGCATCCATCCCACCCATGAGATTGGAACCCCAATGCTCTAATCAACTCCCAGTGATCCCACTTGGTTTTTCTTTTTGTTTTCAAAAGGCAGATGGACAGAGAGGAGAGCTAGAGAGAGAGAGAAAGAGCGAGAGAGAGAGATCTTCCATTCACTACTTTATTCCCCAAATGGCTGCACTGGCCAGAGCTGAGCTGGTCCAAAGCCAGGAGCCATTGGAGACCTTCCTCCAGGTCTCCATTGTGGCCCAAGGACTTGAACTATCCTCCATTGCTTTCCCGGGCCATAAGCATGAAATGATGGGAAGTGGAGCAGCTGGGACAGGAACCCGAGCCCATATGGGATACCAGTGTTAACAGGTGAAGGATTAGTCTGTTGGAACTATTGCATCAATCTCTGCCCCTCCTCTTGATAGTGTTGCAAGGGCAATTAATTTTTTTTTGAAAAAAAGGATTTATTTATTTTTATTGGAAACACAGATTTACAGAGATAAAGAGAGACAGAGAAAAAGATCTTCCATTTACTGGTTCCCTCCCCAAGTAATCGCAAACTGAGCTAACCTGAAGCCAGAAGCCAGGAACTTCTGGGTCTCCCATGTCGGTGCAGGGTCCCAAGACTTTGGGCCATTCTCTACTGCTTTCCCAGGCCACAAGCAGGGAGCTGGATGGGAAGCAGAGCAGCCAGGGTACAAACCAGTGTCCATATGGAATCGCAGCACATACTAGGTGAGGATTTAGCCACTAGGCTTTTGCGCCGGGCCTATGGTCATTTGATTATTTTATTTATTTGAAAAGCAGAGTCACAGAGAAGTGGGAGCGCATACAGAGAGAGAGAGAGAGAGAGAGAGAGAGAGAGAGATCTTCCAGTCTCTACCACAGCTGGGGCTGAGCCAGGCTCAAGCCAGCAGACTGGAACTCCAACCTGGTCTCCCACATGGGTGGCAATGGCTCAAATCCTTGAGTCATCTCTGTAGTTTCCCCGGGTGTGTTAACAGAAAGCTGGATTGGAAGTGAAATACATAGACCTTTTAAAAAGGCAATTTTTAAAAAAATGTTCCTTATTTGTAAGGTAAACACACACACAGAGGAAATCTTCTATTCGGTTGTCATTTCCCAAATGCCTGTAGCGGCCAGAACCAGGGAGCCTGGAGCTCTGGGACTCCCCCAGCGTGCCAGGAACTCAAGTCATGGAGCCCTTATTGCCTCAGGGTGTGTATCCACAGGAAGAGGAGCTGGGACAAGAACCCACGAGCTCCACTAGCTCCACATCACATCTTAATTTCTCCACCAAATGTCTTGTCCCAGCACAGCCATTTCACACAAATAATATTCATGTGTTTTTAAATGAGGCTATCACACCAGGCCCAGTAAACTGAATTTTTTAAAGTGTGTTTTTATGGGCCTGATTATATATACTTTTAAATATTTTGATTGCTTTTCCCTGGAATCTCATTAATCTGTGGTATATTTATAAATATTTAATTTTCCAATATTTCGAGAGTAGCCAAAGTAGAAACATTGTTTCAACTAAGACTTAAACAAGCCTGAGAACAAAGGAGCATCCTCACTATAATTTTTATATTGTTCATAGACTTATTTTTAGATGTGCTACCTTCTTGACTTATATTTAGAATGGGCCCCAGTTTAATCCTCTGTTCTTTATTCTTTTCAATGCTTTCAATGCATTACATTTGTACGAAGAACATCTTGTACCACCTTGTGCTTAATACATACTTTTTCTTTGCTAAATTACAAGGCTGGCATCCCAAAAAGTGTCTTCAGTTCTTACCCATTCATTTTCCATCTTGCCAGGAATTTTAATTTTAATGTAATTTTCCTAGGTGATAGCCACCCCGTCCGTTTTGGGGTCACTTTTATTGTCATCATTCAAATGTTAATGGAAATGCTGAATGACAGAACTGATCCTTTAAGACTAGCCTTAGTGTGCAAGTGTCAGTTAGCTATGATAATGTCACAGGGAGAATGGAACAGGGCAGTGGTGGAGAAATCATTAGAAAAGCAGAGTCAAGAATGAGAAAGAGAGAGCAGCAGAGAACCATTTGCGGGAGCCACTGCCTCCCAGGGTCTCCCACTGCCTCCTCCAGGTCTCCCATGTGGGTGCAGAGGCCCAAGAACTTGGGTTTACCCACTCCGCCCTGCTGCTTTCCCAGCCTCAACACCTGTAGCAGAAGGCTGGAGTCCTGCAGGAGTGACAGCCGGCCTTGACCGAAAGCACTTGGATATGAGCTGTGGGTTTCTTAACTACTGCGTTCACCTGCTCACCCCCTTCCTTCATCAGTGTTTCATACTTTCTATTATGGAGAACTTTTACCTTCTTGATTGTATTTAGTGATGTACACTTTTTTTTTTTTGGTAGCTGTTATAAGTGGGATTGTTCTTAATTTCTCGCATCCAAGTACTAACCAGACCCGATCCTGCTTAGCTTGTAAGATCAGGTAAGATCAGGTGCACTCCGGTGGGTATGGCCGTTCTCATGATTTCTTTGTCAGATAACTCACAATTGGCATATAAAAAGGCTGCTGATTTTTGAATCCCTTAACTTAATGTCATTTTCTTAAAGAAGTCTAGAATGTTTTATACTTGAGATCATAGCATTGCAAACGGGGACTGACTTCCTCCTTTCCAACAGGTTTGTCTTTCGTTAAAATATGTTATATAAACAAACAAATGGTGCTATTGTTTGTATGCGCATCATTTCTCTAGCCA